TACATTGTGAGGACCAACTGCTCCTTGTGGAGACCAAAGCCTGGTCCCCATAAGGATAAGTCTTGTTAGGATAGGGTTAAGCATGTACAGGTAATGGTTAGGTTTAGGGTAAACGTCAGGGTTAAGGCGCCCACATACTGTGTGTACCTTGTGAGCTGTGCAGACTCCGCGCATACTGTTCGTAGATGGTTGAGGCTTCATGCTTGAACGTGCACCCTGATGGGTTGCAGCCCAGCCCTTCATGTAAGGTGTAAGGGGTGTTTACCTTTAGGACAAATTGAGGTTGCCTATTGGTCATTTGCTGACATGCCTACTTGATTGATTGCATCAAGGATCCAACTTGTGAAAAAAAAAAAAAAAAAAACAGCAGACCTTTTGCTTCGAGTCAGTGGTGAGCCTACCTCGAGTACGCGTGGCCCTCCGCAGACTGAAGTACGCCCGAGTATGTGGGGGAGTTTAGGCTATAGAAATGAATGGAAGTCAATGCAAATGCCAGAAAGACAGACACGTGTACCGATGTGTGTGTGTGTGTGTGTGTGTGTGTGTGTGTGTGTGTGTGTGTGTGTGTGTGTATTTAACCAAATCAGGTCTAAAATTTCTCTCTGTGAAATGTGTGACTAATGTATTGTTTGTGTCTCTCTGTGTTTAGAATCCTGAGGGAACATTTAGGAGAGATGGAGGTGGAGCTGTCTTTGACATTTGATGCTGTGGAGGAAGCAGATCTGGCCAACTACACTTGTTACGTTGAGAACCACATAGGGAGGCGCAGCGGGAGTGCTATACTGCGGAAAAAAGGTGGAATTAACTTTCTTTCTATGACATTTTTTTCTTTCCAACAATTTTCAGTAAGGTCATCTTGATAGTTTCTTTTTTTTTTCCTGAAACGTTTCACCTTCTATCCGGAAGGATTCATCAGTCAAGGAAACACACAACACAAAACTGATTCTGGTGGAACAAAATTGTGTACACAGGGTCCCAGTTACATCCAACAAAAGTATATATTGTAAAGAAAAACAGTAATAAGATCTAAGATATGAACTAAGAAAAATGATAAACTAAAAATATGCTAAGCACTAATAGTGCAAAAACAATACATCGAACAGCGGCACGAACATGAGTCTTCGCTGCTGTTCGACATATTGTTTTTTTACTACTATACATCTATACTAATAGGACCGTGCTGCTGTAGATGTATTTCACAATTCACTTTTGGCGCCTTGTTTTATATTGTTGTCGCATTCTTTGGTATTTCTTTTTGTTGTTTTGTTTGTTTGTTTGTTTGTTTTTTGGGGTGAGTCGAGACAGTTCTTCTCGTCCTGAGCATTTCATTGCAATGTTCACCTTGTGTTGATTCTGCATATGACAAATAAGCCAAACCTGATTTTTTTGAAAGACCACAAAGTCACAAATATAACCTGCTTATGTCTCACCTGGAAATGCTGGTTGCTTTGAAATAGCCAAATAAACAGTGAGACAGTGATTGAAATGTTATCACTTTAGAGAAGTGATACAATTATCTCACTCCATTGTCAGCCATTATCCTTTATAATAAATTAACTATTTGAACAAGCAAAGGCATTTGTAACTTCCACCTTAAGTCTAAAAGTTCTCAAACCAAGCTATCGGTTATGTATCCTTCTGCCTTAAGCCTTGAAGATAACAGGGTCACATTTGGGTGAATTGCATGAAGATATTACAGCAGCCTAAACAAAGCAGAAGTTAGCCTAAGTGTGTGCATGTTATTAAAGCTTGATGTAAGTTGCTGAATGCATGTGGCTGAATTAAGATGCTATAACTCTGCACTGACACAAGGTTGATGCATCAGTGGCACACACATGCACACCCACACACTCACCTACTGACACACTAATGACACACATCATTCATCTATATAACAGACAGAGCAAAAAGAGCTGCCCTCAGCCATCAATAGCAGTCTTAACAGAAAGGAAAAACTCTGAACACAACACATTTTTTGAAGGAAATCCTACCTTTTCTACTGAAGTTCAGCCGTGTGTGTAAACAACAATAGCCTCTTGATTTTCCTGAAACCAAAGGTTTCTGAATCCTAGTCCTAAGGCACCCAAATACTCGGGCGTACTTTTCTTCGTGAAAGTACGCAAGTACTAGAGGCGGACTCAACGTGGACTCGAAGCGGACGGCCACCGGTGATGTCCATGCTAAGATCAATTTTTACGACTGCATACGCATACTTGGTGTTGCACAATAATTCATAATAATAACATTTTGTGTATATATATATATATATATATATATATATATATATATATATATATATATATATATATATAACATAATAAATTCTGATTGAGTTAAACATTTTTTCATTAGATCCTGTGAGGGGGAGTGGCTATACTCTCTGTCTAATGCCACTTTTGCACTGCTACTACTCAGCCCCACTCAGATCAGCCTGATTTGCACCACACTTCAGGACGGGTTCTGGAGGCATGTCCAGAATCCAAAATCCTGCTAATGAATTTTTAATGAACTTTAGTTCACCGAGTGAGAGTTCTGCAATGAGTTAAACTCAAAGCAGTCTGCTCCTCAGATAAATAATGTGAAATTATTATTTTTAAATATGAATGTTTCTGTTAACTTATTTTATATATGAATATTTCTGTTCAGTGCCCTGAGACGACTTCTGCTGTGACTTGGCGCTATATAAACTGAATTAAATCTAATGAACCAGGTCCTACAAAAACATCCATCCATCCATCCATTATCTTTACCCGCTTAATCCATTTTGGGTCACGGGGGTCGCTGGTGCCCATGTCCAGCAATCACTGTGCGAGGGGCGGGGTACACCCTGGATGGGTCTCAAGTCCATCACAGGGCCACATAGAGACAAACGAGACAAACAAACATTCACTCTCTCACTCACACCTAGGGACAATTTAGAGTTACCAATCAGCCTAACATGCATGTTTTTGGTCTGTGGGAGGAAACCGGAGTACCTGGAGAAAACCCACGCATGCACGGAGAGAACATGCAGACTCCACCCAGAAAGGCCCCTGGACCGGGGTTCGAACCAAGGACCTGCTCGCTGAGAGGCAGCAGCTCTACCAGTTGCGCCACCGTGCTGCCGGACCTACAAAAACATTTATATTTAAAATTCCTTTTTTTTTTTCACCATTTGATGTATTTGCACTCATTTTTGGTATGTGGTTTTGTTTCTTGTATACATATTTTATTTTAGTGATGTAAGTGATGATCAGTGAACAGTGTTATTTCTCACCTTACTGACTTTGTCTATAAAATAAGAAAGAAAAGTTGTCAATCCTCATTTGAAGAGATAAGAACAATCAAACAGGGATTTAAAGTGTAATTCTTGTTTTGTGATTTGTACATCTGTGGGTTAGAATAAAGTTGAACTAAAGGCCGTGTCTCTTCTTTAAACATGTTTGAGGGAAATATTCCTGAGAGATCCAATAATTTTGTCTTTTTATGATTTTTCAGCTGAGTTAACTTTAATTTACAAATTATTTAATAAAGTCAAAGTGAAAACAGGATTTCATGATGAAGCCAAAACCATTTAATTATTTTTATTCTTCACTGGTTAAAAAAAAAAAAAAAAAAATTTATACATAAAATGTTTTTTTTTTAAGTTTCCACCATCTGCCCCGGATTCCCAGTCTTCCTGCCTGCCAAGGCTCGGAATCCAGCCTTTGTGAGCACACGAGGCCAGACCCTGTGCCCTGGCCTCGCATGCTTCAACGGGTCGGCAGTTCGTTTGATCTTCCGCGATGATTCTACTTGCTCGAATTTTGTTGTCGGTCACCAAACACAAAAAACGCCTGGACTTCAGCATTAAACACGGTGTTGTCATTATTGTTTTAAAAATCTTTACAATAGATCCAGCCGCTGCCCCGCGCTCCGAGAAATTGCAAATGGTAGATTGGTGAAAAGTTTCTGAGATCCAGTGACTCCTTCCCCTGACCAATCAGTGTCCTGCATTCACGTTTCAGTCTCGACTCAGCTCGCACAGTCCCACCAGAGAAGCAGGGATAAAACAAGGTCCCGAATCAGCTAAAAAGTACTGGTGGAATAGTAATATTTCCGTGGAGGGCTGAGTAGGAGCAGTGCAAAAGCCCCATAATAGTAATATCTGTTAACTGTCCTAGCCACACCAAGCCCTTCGTATTTTTGTTTGCACAATAAGAAATTATTTGACCCCTCAAGTAGGCCTTTAATGCCTCCTAGACAGTACAGAGTGGCATTCCTGGTGTTCAGTTAACTTCGAGAAAAAAATTATATTTCAGATGTAAGAAATTTGGTAAATTATTCCTTGGATAAAAGTAAGGAGCTGAATCTCCAGGGATGATATACAGATTTTGTGACCGGGATAAGCAATTTCATAACAAGTGGACCATGGTCCGTGATGATCATGGCCCCATATTCACATTCTTTCACCAAAGGCAAAGTTTGTTTATCAAGAAAAAAATAGTCAGTCCGGGAGAATATCTTATGGACTGGGGAAAAAATTAGTATGATCTTGAAGTAGGGTTGCAGAAGCCCCACACATCAGCCTCTGATCATAAGATTCAAGGAATGAGTTGATAAGTTGAGCAAACTTAGTTTAGGTAGTTTTCCCCATCAAATTACGGTCAGGAGATGAAAGCACATAATTTGTGTCACCACCAATTATAAAGGTTATGTGTTGACATATTTGGTGTGTTTGCGAAGAGGTTTGCAAAGTTAAATGAGATTCGTTCTTCATTGTCAGCATAGAAAATGATAGAAAATTGGACAATCTTTTGGGAATTTAACATCTCACATATCCATTTCCCAAAGGCAGATTACTGTGGATTCACTCTCATATTAAACACAAAGAAAACAAAACCCTGACATCAGCACTCTGATCCTTTTCACCTGCATTTCAGCCCTCCATCTGCTGTTATTCCTCAGCCTAAAGTTTTTTGTAAATCTCAGTAGTCTCATTCTTTATCCTCTCCCTGCTGTGTCTCTGACAGACATGTATCGCCTGGAGTTGGCAGGTGGTCTCGGGGTCATACTGCTGCTGCTGGGAGTCCTAACTGCTTTTTATAAGTGTTTCAATCTGGAGATCATGCTCTGCTACAGCCGACACTTTGGGAGTGATGAAACTGAAGATGGTAAGCTGTTTGGAGCACTCTACTTTACTTCAGGAAACTTCAGGATAGTGTGACAGTAAGGAATTTGATGTGTCTCTCACAGAATATATACAGTGGTGTAGAATATCAGACATTTTATAGCTCTAGTGACCTCAAAAGTCTCTGACTTGTTTAAAAAACTGGCTGCTGAGTGATACAGAAACTAAGTTGGTGCAACTTATTTGCATCTGACACTGACTTTTTGGTCTTTTAGGTGTCCTTTGGTGTTCCCTAAATACAGTATTGTAACTGATTGTCTTTTGTCTGTATCGATCTCTTTCAGACAACAAAGAGTATGATGCCTATCTGTCCTACACTAAAGTGGACCTAGACTCTTTGGGCAGGTCAGATTTCTCACTGAATTGATGTAACTATAAACTAATGTAAATCTGTAAAGGATCCATCCATCCATCCATTATCTTTACCTGTTTATTCCATTTTGGGTCACGGGGGTCGCTGGTGCCCATGTCCAGCAATCCCTGTGCGAGGAGCGGGGTACACCCTGGACGGGTCGCAAGTCCATCACAGGGACACATAGAGACAAACGAGACAAACAACCATTCACTCTCTCACTCACACCTAGGGACAATTTAGAGTTACCAATCAGCCTAACATGCATGTTTTTGGTCTGTGGGAGGAAACTGGAGTACCCGGAGAAAACCCACGCATGCACGGAGAGAACATACAAACTCCACCCAGAAAGGCCCCTGGACCGGGGTTTGAACCAGGGACCTGTTCGTTGAGAGACAGCAGCTCTACCAGTTGCGCCACCGTGCTGCTCTCTGTAAAGGATTTGGAACTAAAAATAAAAATGTGTGCATTAATTGATTTTTTTTTTTTTTTTTTTTTACAGAAAACTTCTAATAGCAGCAAAAAGAACTAGGAGCACAATGTGTTATGAACTGTATTTGCATAACAGCTACTATACATTTATGTGTTTTGATAATGGCTCCAGTCACTGAGCATTTTCTTTGATTTTGTGTACTTTACCTAGTGGCCCACAGTTAAATAATGCTGGTTCTTTCTGATTATATAAAAAAAGAAATTTTTAAATGAGTGGTCAAAGTTGCTGTACAAAGGTGATGTACATACAGTATTTACATATAGGCTACTGTTTGCATTAGGGTTGTGCATCTCTTGTCAGTGGCCGATATAAAATATATAATAAGAATTGCTGAATACAATATATATATATATATATATATATATATATATATATATATATATATATTAGGGGTGTAACAGTGTGCTAAAATCACATTTCGGTTCCGTTCAGTTTCAAGGAGGACTCGGTTCGGTTAATTTTTGGTACAAAAAAGGTTAAAATAAAGACTTACAAAATGTTTATTTTGAAAATATGCCAAATAAATAAGTTCAGTCATTACAGGCTTCTTAACTGGAGGTGATCTGGTGGATGAAGAAGACTCAGCTGCTATCTTCGTTGACATCCTCAAACTACAAAAAACACAGAGAAAAAAAAGATTGAGTTGAGATTATAATTTTAAATTAAAAAAGTTAAATAGATCACAATAATACAATAACAATACCTTTTCTTGCACGGTTAGCATTTCTGATATGAGGTGGTTGAATATCCTCTCTCGCTCATCATCATCAGGGCAGGGCTTTAAATCTGGGCTCCAGTGCTTGTTGACGATCAGTTTTAGCTTTTTTCATAAAGTGCTGGTACAACATTTTGGCTGAAGTGTTGACGTGATGGGATGTCATAGGCAGCGGGGCTCAAGAACTTTAATCATATGCTTAAAGCCAGCTCATCCACAACAGAATTCGGACCTAGATCAAGAGCTTTAAAAACTCGTACAGCTTGTGTTATTGCCTTGGACCGATCTGAATTACCTGATAAAGGTTGTTTAAATGCTGCTGTTATCGGTCTTTGCACCAAGCTGCTTTTCTTCTTGTAGAAGAGACGTTCACCTTCAGATGATGTTTCAAGTTCATTCATCTTTTATTTAAACAGATAAGTCACATTGCGCCTCGAAGACTCATTTACAAGTGAGAACTGTTTGGACAGACAATAAAAAGTGTGAAAAATGACGTAGGGTTTGGAGACAAAAAAAATCCTAACACGCTTTTAACCTCAGTTTGAAGATCAACAGTGTGATGAAAAATAAATCTCGCACACTTGCACATAATGATGCCGCCATTACACAGGGTGGGATGCAAGGGCGGTGAGCATGTCCAGAGACAACACACAGAGGCACTGCAGATTTCAGATAAAATCACTCAGTTCAAATAGTTCCCTCTGGAGAGATCCATGCACACTCGAGGGGGGCCGAGGACGACCAGAGACGAATCTAGTCCTGAAATGATGACAGAATGTTTATTCAGCTGGGCTCCTCTGAAAAGTCCATGGTAATTCCTCAGTAGGAGGGGAGGGAGGGGTTAGAGCATTGTGTTTACAAAACCTCCAGGTGGGTTGAGATAAAATGAATTGTCAAGGCCAGTCAGGGAACCAAATTCAAATAAACGCTATTGTTCTGGGGACAGGCAGAACTTTAATAACATCTACCTTGAGTCTGTGTCAGTCCACTCGGATTGGAAACGTCCACATTAAATGACCATAACAATGGAACATGACTGACAATAATCCCCGAGATCTGATCCATTCTGCCAAAAGTCTGGGTGCTCGAGGCACGAACCAAGCCATCATATAAGGCAGGCAGTCTGACCAGGTCCAGATTTGCTGCCAATGACTTCCTTGTTTGTTGATAGACCAGGAACCAGCCGAATCCAAAAAGCAGGAACCAGTTTTCATAAATCCAATTATAAATGAGTCCTTAAAATCCACAAATGGCAGCAGGGATAGACACGTCATCAAGTCTTCAAAGTCAATGAGATATCCAGCTGCGTGCGTGCCAACAGGGCAAATTGGCTCGTCTAAAGCTTGTCGTCTCTTCAAAAAAATGTTATCAATTGTGTTGAGGGACCAACTGACCAAATCCAAGTCCACAGTTATGATTCGGAAGATTTGTAGAAGAGAGGCTCTAAAGCAGTTTCACAGACAGGACAGAGCAAAAGCAAAGCGCAGAGGGAGAGGAGGGGACGTCTGCCCTTGAGAAGAGCAAGTGTGTTAACATGTTAGACGTGTTGCCTGCGACAGATCCAATCTCCGTGAAACAATGTCGACAGACAGCTTTGGATTTGCACTTGTCTTTTCCCATTGTTAATGGGAAACAAGAAAGCCATAATGTTTTCAAATAGGAGACCACAACGAGATGGCTTGTTCATTGCCTGTTAGGCTGCTAATGCTACGTGTGCTGCAACAATTAATAGCACCGTGCTGAAACATGCTTAGGAACTTTAGTTCCACAGCGCATAATCTCTCGTTAATATAATTTAATGAGTGAAAAAATAACCGAAATGGTACGCACGTGTACCGAACAAATGCTGCACTGAAACGGTTCAATACACCCACGTGTACTGTTACACCACTAATTATATATATATACATATATATATATAT